GCTAAAAAATGTGTCTTTGTACGATATGCACCTACTCAAAAAAGGTTATAAATGCTTTGATCCAATTTTTAAAAAAATGGTTGTTACCATGGATGTAACCTTTTTTTGAATTTAAACATTTTTTTGCTACTTATCTTCAGGGGGAGAGTACAAGTAAAGATGTAACCAAATTTTGAATTAATGATGTTTTTGATGTTTTTGAAATCGATTCAACACATACTCCTATTATTGAGACTGAAAATTCAGATTCACGTGTTAAAAAACCAGAAAATATGGATGGAACAAATGATGTTTTACATATTGAAAATTCAAGCAGCCTACTGCCATGTCAAAAATAGAATCTCAGCAGCTCAGAAAATGGGAACAGGGTTGGTACTAAGAATACAGATCTCTTGGTCTACTCAAGGAGGAAACTGAATTCAAAGAAACAAGGTCCCGATCCTCTACAAGGCCATGAGTCTGAACTTAGGGAAGAACCAAAACACTTCCCCAAGTGCCCAGGTAACAATCAATCCGATTCTTGTTTAAATTCCAATCTCCAGCCCCTTGATGATTCCATACAGTCTATCCCTAGTGCTAGTACTGAGTTATTTGATGATCTCAATATTCCTATTGCCACCTGCAAAGGTGTCCGTTCATGCACTAAACACCCCATGTCTAATTATGTGTCCTATAAGAATCTCTCTCCTTCATTCTTTTCATTTACCTCACATCTCACTTTTGTGGAAATTTCAAAGAGTGTACAAGAAGCTCTATAGGTTCTTGAGTGGAGGAAAGCTATTTCTGAATAGATGAGAGCACTTGAGAAGAATCACACATGGGAAGAAATGGATCTGCCGAGAGGAAAGAAAACAGTTGGATGCAAATGGGTGTTCACCATCAAGTATAATTCGGATGGATCTCTCAAGAGGTATAAAGCATGGTTGGTGGCTAAAGGGTTTACTCAAACCTATGGCGTTGATTATCTCGAGACCTTTGCAACAGTGGCAAAGCTGAATACCGTAAGAGTACTTCTTTCAATTGCAGCAACTCTTAACTGGCCGCTTAAACAGTTAGATGTGAAGAATGCATTTCTAAACGAAGAATTGGAAGAGGAAGTTTATATGGATCCACCGCCTAGATTTGATAAGCACTTTGGATCTAAGGTGTGTAAGCTAAGAAAATCACTTTATAGGCTCAAACAATCCCCAAAAGTCTGGTTTGAACGATTTACTCAGTCTATTAAAAATCATAGATATGTCCAGGCCTAAAGTGACCACCCTATGTTCATCAAGGACTCCGATGATGGGAAAATTGCAGTTTTGATAGTCTACGTAGATGATATCATCTTTACCGGAGATAATTCTGTTGAAATGAGTCGTTTGAAGAAAAGTCTGGCTTCAGACTTCGAGATCAAAGACTTGGAATCTTTAAAATATTTTCTAGGAATGGAAGTTGCTTATTCAAAAATGGGTATTGTTGTCTCACAAAGGAAATACGTCCTTGACCTCCTTAAAGAAACAGGAATGAGTGGGTGTAGGCGTGTTGATTCACCAATGGACCCTAACCAGAAGTTGGGAGATGTCAAAGATGGAGATCCGGTAAATACAATATGGTATGCCACGATATCAGAAGTTGGTAGGAAAACTAATTTACTTATCTCATACTAGACCAGACATTGCGTTCGCAGTTAGTATGGTAAGTCAATTCATGCACTCACCACGTGAAGAACACCTTGAGGCAGTATATCAAATCCTGAGGTATTTGAAAAGCACTCCAGGGAAAGGACTCCTCTTCAAGAAACACAAGCAGAAAACTATTGAAGCATACATAGATGCAAATTGGGCAGGTTCCATCACAGACAGAAGATCTACATCTAGATATTGCACTTATGTTTGGGGAAACTTAGTCACTTAGAGGAGCAAGAAACAAAGTGCAGTAGCTCGAAGTAGTGCAGAAACTGAGTACCGGGCAATGGCTCATGGAATATGTGAAATGTTGTGGTTAAAAATGATCCTTAAGGAATTGAAGAAACCAATAGAGATGCCTATGAAACTCTACTGTGACAACAAGGCTGCGATCAGTATTGCTCACAACCTAGTGTAACATGACAGAACTAAACACGTTGAAATTGACAAACATTTCATAAAGGAGAAGCCAGAAGAAGGCGTTATTTGTATGTCGTTTGTTCCAACAACACAACAAATAGTTGATATTCTCACGAAGGGATTATTCAAACCAAGCTTTGAGTTTCTTATCAGCAAGTTGGGCATGATAGATATCTATGAACCAACTTGAGGGGGAGTGTCGAAGACCTAGGGTTATTGACAGTTAGAAAATTATCTCTTAAGGAAATTATCATTCTAAAAGTTAGGAGTTATCCATTCCTAGATTATGTTTTTAAATTTAGAAATCCGGATAGAATGTTTGATTAGGTCCGGATAAGGATGACTTGGAATCCAATTAGAATTTCATGATTAGGTTAGATTTTCTAAATTAGTTTTATGCCTATAAATAGTTTGTAAATTTCACATATTAATAATAAAAAAATAAGTTCTTTTTCTTCTAAAAAACTATAAATTTAAAGTAAATATATATATATATATATTTTGAAATTTTAAAGTAACTCTTGACTTTAAGAGATTAGCTTTGTGCATGCATGGAGCCGAGGCATGCTCAGTGGGGTCTTAAGTCCCCACTCACTTATTTTAGTTTTAAAAATTTTGTACATATAATTATGTATCATATTAGATTGATACAAATTAACTCCCACTAAAATAAATTATATAGTCCATATTTTTAAAAGTACAATATACATATAAACTATACAATCAATCTTATTTTTTATTAAATTTTTTACTTAACTATGAACCCTAACTCACAAAAATTTCTCACTCTGCCACTAGCTTTGTGTAACTTACTTGATTCAGTATTTGTAATATTTTTTTATATGCAGTCTACTGATAGCATTTCTTGGTAGAAAATATCCTCTCTTCTCATTCTTAGATGTAGATAACTTGACAACCCACACTTTAAATCTTGGTGTTCTATTATTCTTATTATTTTTTTAGTTTTTTTATTATGAGTATCACCACGACATCCAATATTTCCTTCATCACTTTAAAAATTTTGGGACCCACAAATGAACAGAAAAGGACTTGACTCAATTCTACTCAAAAAATGGGCTTAGCTTTCACTCATGACACCACACATCAAATGTCGTACAACATATTGATTTGATGGGGTTCTAAAATAGAGGCTATGAAGTATCAAATCCCAAACACATCTAGAAAGGAGAAAAAAGAAAGACATTCTTATCTTTACGCCAATCATATTGATGGTTCTAAATATTTATTGATAAAATATTTTTTATATAAAAAGTTAATAAAAGCAATTTTTTTTAAAATGACAAATACTTTTTTTTTTTTTGCATCAAGCTACGAAATATACACTTCTTCTGACTTTATGCTTATAGAGATTTTTTTTATTCCCTGATACTATATGCAAACAGAGATTATTAATGTCATTCATTAATTGTCATACTCTTAGATCACACCGGCAATGTAGTTGATATTTAATGGCTGAAAATCTCTGATCTTGACATGTTCTTATCAACAACTGTTCATTTGTTTGACAAAAATTCATTATTTTCAAGGAAAAGTCGAGAGAGAATTTATCACGAAAGAACAGTTTTTTTTCCTTGTGCTTTAAAGAAAGTGATTAGAAATTTTAAATTGTTTGGCTGTTACAAGTAGTGGTATACCATTTCAGCAAATAATAAAGTGAATTGTATAGTTATTGGAATATACTAGTCATAATTAAAATAATAGTTCTAATATTTGGCCAGTAAAATAATGCATATAAGATATGTAATTATTTTTTAAATTAAAATAAGGTGTGAAAATGTGAAGAAAATTAAATAGAAAACTAAAAATAAAAATAAAAAATTGAAATACATTATTTAGTTCAATGAAAATGTATGCACGAATTTAATAATATTTAGGAAAATTGTTGTAATATTAAGTAAATAAAATAATAAATAAAGATGATCATCTCTCTTATTGTTCTAACATTTTGCAAGTAAATTAGGTAAAATAATAATTTACTTATTTAATATTACTGTTGGGATTTGGATTCTCAATCAGGAGGGGCACCAATCCTAACTCTCTTCAATACTTTGATAATTCACGTAAGGGAAAAATAGAAAGGTAAGTAGAGACATTAGAGTGCCACCGGGAAAGAAGTAGATATTCTTTGCAAGATTTCAGAAGAAAGAATGTACCATGTACATTTACATTTATTTTTCGGGAGGAAATTCGAATATACACATGCAAGTCGGACGGGAAGTGGTGTTTCCAGTGGCGGACGGGGTGAGTAATGCGTAAGAACCTGCCCTTGGGAGGGGAACAACAGCTGGAAACGGCTCGCGTCTGATTAGCTAGTTGGTGAGGCAATAGCTTACCAAGGCGATGATCAGTAGCTGGTCTGAGAGGATGATCAGCCACACTGGGACTGAGACACAGCCCAGACTCCTACGCATGCTTAATTATTTCTGATCCTATAACTAGTCATACTTCCCCCTCCATTTTCTAATTTTTTTGATTAATAATTCACCAACTCCTCTTTTATGTGTACTAAGGCTCCATTCACTTCGTTGATTCGAGTTTAGAATTCAAGTTTTTCTACAGTAAAAAGCTCTCACAAACAATCACATCTAACTTTTTTACTACAGTAAAAAACTCTCACATAAAGTCACATCTCAACTCGAATTCTAAACTCGAATCAGCGAAGTGAACGGGCCTTAAAGAATCACCAACTCAAGATCTCAATCTATTTTCTCCTTATCTCTGAATATATTTCTTTTCACACACATATATATTCTGATCAAAACGCTTTTAAAATCATGATTATACAAATTGTTGAAAAAAAAAAGAAAAAAAGAAACAAAGATAAAAATAAAAAAAAGGCAAAAGATGTAGAAAAAAAACTCGGGAAAAAAACTTTTGCAAAACATTTCCCGCATTTTAACTATTGTGCAAAACATTTTTTTTGAAAAAAAAATTGTGTGAAACGAAAAAAATTGTGTGAAACGGTTTGCCAAAAAAAAGTGCAAAACGTTTAAGACATTTGACTCACGTGCGAAATGTTTTGCATGGCCTAAAAGGGAGAAATCATTTTTTCCTTTTAGGTCGTGCACATCTTAAAAGGAAAAAAAAAAAAAAAAAACAGATTCACCCAACTCCTAAGCTGGAACTGAGATGCCCACCTGTCTTCGATACTGTGTGTACGTACTATATCGGCTCTAAGCTCTGCTGCTAGTTGTTCAAGACCCTGGAATTATCATTCAAGTGTTAAAAGTGAACATTTATAGGCCATAAAGAAAAAACATAAGCAGTTTGAATTTTTGAATTTGTGCATGGTATACCTGTGTGCATAGATTCGTCATGTGAACGGCGTAGTTGACAGAATCAAGCAATGGCATCGCCGGTTTTTCCCCGGAATAATCGATCTTCCATCCATCCTTTTCTTTTCTGATCAACTTCTTTTCCACACCACCATCTGATGATAAGCTACCATGGGAAGCTCTCAAATAAAACTGTAAAACAATCACCAACACCACCATTGCACCGTCAAGAATAAATGGTTGTCATAAAAGTGCACTAAAAAATGGAATATAAATTAATAAAATGAAGGTAACGAACCTGTTATTCGATATTATGACAGCATAAAGAAATAGAGCTTTATAGAAAAGAAACAGCCAAAAGAAAGGTGGAAATGGACATATAATGATCTATACTTACAAGTTTTCTTGTACTATAACTTGGTCCTGGATATTTAATCTTTGGACAGAAAGATGTTTTGGTACAATGAAAGACCCAGGAACCGCCATAGCGAATCGAAGACTTGTGTGAAGCCTTTGAGGAGTTTCAAGAGACGAAGACAAGAACCAAATTATATAGCAGACCAGGCACTGAAAAAGAAGCCTATATATCGGTGGCATAGAATTTAATATCAATATTATAAGAATAATAACAATATACTTTGTATTTATTTGTCTTTAAAAGAAAAATTGGACTTTCGTTTTGAATAGAAACTCATTGAATTATGAGATGTTCATTTGAACTGGTCAGCTTGGAATCGTGACTTGGTTAAGAAAGGTAAACGCTCATAGAGTATTGTTGAAAAATAGAGATCTTAATTATGTGAAATATACAGAAAATCTTCTGTTTTTTCAAAAAAGAAAATCTTTTATGACATCACATCTTCCAAATCATACAGTGGAAAGGGTAAGTGTCTCCACTCTAAAAACTATGCAATTAGGAAAATTATTTTTTCCAAAGATAAACAAAATTAATTAAAAATGGTGTGTATAAATTTTAATAGTAGTAATGATGACAATAGTACTAATCGTTCTTACAAAAGTTAATAATGTTACGGAATTATACTAAAAAGATTTTCCTCTGCGTTTTATTCTTAGGAAAGAAATAAGCAAAGATATTTATTAATCTGGTAAAATGTTACCAAAATAGTAGCAAATTTGTAATGGTCAAACTTCATAAGTTCATACAGAATTGTTGTCAGAAAACATAGCTTATCCCTCTCATGTCCTGAAATCAAAGCATTTACCTTTTTGTGTAGTTTTTTTAGGACTTGGACATTATGTGTACTTTTGGGCAAATTAAGCAAGCATTTCTCAACTAATTTACCTCTGCCCAATAACTTAAAAGTACTTTATAATTTAGCTAGCCATCAGTTATCGACCAAAAAACACCAACAGTACAGGTATTTAATAAAGTAAGAAAAAACATACCTAACTTTGTTGTCCAGCGTATTTGAATCATACATGCCACTCCATCTCCCCTCATTCAAAGAAAAAGATTTCAACATTAACAATAATATTATATTAGTAGAAGTAAATAACAAATTACTACAATATTGATAATAAAAGAAATGATGAAACAATAATCATTTTTTCCTGTGGAAAATTACAATAATCATTGTTAACATTACAATTACAATTAATGATAATATGATGTTATACAGTATATGCGTTACAAATTTCTTTAGAAAAAAAAAACACTATAATAAATTAACAAGTGATATAAAAACTTCAACAATGAATCGTCATAAAAGTAAATATAAGAATCACCAAGATTATTCCACAAGTTTTGTCCACTATTGAATGATTTCACATCTTCCTAATCATATAGTGAAAAGGGCAAGTGTCACCACTCAAAAAACCATACAATTAGGAAAATGTAATTTCATTCAATAAGCAACACTTATATATAAAATCAGTCACTGCATAATTGTTTCAAACTAAGAACAAAATTAATAGTAGATATGTGAATAGCATTAAGAAAATAACTAAAGAAGCTGTTTTTAATCTAATCTAATCTAATAAAAGTGAATATATATACACACAAACACAAAAATAAGAATCACCAAGATTATTTGACAAGTTTTGTTTATCACATGATATCACATTCTTCCAAATCATATAGTCAAAAGGGCAAGTGTTTCCACTGAAAATACTATACAATTAGGAAAACTGCCATTTCATCTAATAAACAACGCTTGTAAATAAAATCAATCTTGTACAATTTGTTCAGCAGAACGTATATAATTGTATATACATATACAAACTGGCGTAAGTCAAGATTCAAGAAATGACGAGAAAAATGAAAGTCGTTTAATTCAATATTCAAGAACCACAATAAAACTTCAAATGGCATAAACGCACGCAACAACACACCTTTCAGACATTTCCGCAAATAGTTTACATGCATTCCTCAGATTTCCAAATTCTCTAAGAATACCGCTCTTGAAAGCCTGGCCGTGGAAGATCACACCATCTGTCTAGAGGCCAACCAAGTACGAGCCACCGTCCCAAAACCCTAACGACAAGAAAGTGGATGATCACACCGTCCGTCTCGAGGCCGGCCAAGTACGAGCGACCGTCCCGAAACCCTAACGACAAGAAAGTGGAAGAACACACCGTCCATCTCGCCGCCGACAGACCAATTAAACCAAATCAATTCAAGATTCAAAAACCACAATAAAACTGCAAATGGCATAAAATTTCAAGAAAAGACAGATTGGTTATAGAATTTAAATAAATTCCCAAACTAAAGTAAGGTGTGAAAATCGCTCTAAGGACACACAATCAGACAATAATTCAAGAATGACAAGAATGTGGAAGACGTTAAATTACATACCGTCCGTGAAAAAGCCACCGCTAAGCCGTCGCACCCAATCGTTTAAATCGCCGACGGCACCTCCGACGATCATGTCAGCCTCAGAGAGGCCGATCAACGTCGGCCAAAAACGCCCGCAACAACACACCTTTCAGATATTACCTCAAATAGCTTACACACATTCCTCAGATTTCCAAATTCTCTAAGAATACCGCGCTTGAAAGCCTGGCCATGGAAGATCACACCGTCCGTCTCAAGGCCGACCAAGTACGAGCCACCGTCCCAAAGCCCTAACGACAAGAAAGTGGAAGATCACACCGTCCGTCTTGAGGCCGACCAAGTACCCTAACGATCAGAAAGTGGAAGATCACACCGTCCGTCTCGCCGCCGACCAACCAAGTAAACCCAACAGCCGCCTCCGCCGTCGCCGGAACGACATACCCCGATCCGCCACAGCCACCACCAAGGATCCAGCAACACACCGGCGAGCCTCTCCCTCCCCCCCATCCCCCCACCCTTCCTTCTCTCTCTATCTCTCTCTCTCCATCGAAACCCACTGCGACCCTCCCCGGAAGCACGCCGCCCTCGTCACAAAACCCAAGGCTGCCGTTGGTGAGGTGGGGTTGGATTGTGATGGGCTTTTTTTGGGATTTTTTTTAACAGAAAGCTTTTTTTGGGGATTTTGAATAGATGTTGAAAGGGGTTTTTCGAATATGTCCGTTGCTTTCTTCAATCAGTTAAATGAAATGCTCTTTCTAATTAATACACTCAAAAAGACATAAATAGCCTTCAATCACCTTATTCTGATTACCATACAAATGCTATCAAAGTAATCGAACAATCTATGCGAAATTTGGTTCGTGAGTTCAGTGATTAATTATTTTAATTTTTGAAAGTTAAATTTTTTATAAGAAAGAAATACAATAATAAATTATGAATTATGAATTATGAATTAGAATTAGGCAAGAATTCTCGAAATAAACAGAGCACTAATCTAATCAAATCTACGGTAGTGGGGTCACTTAATTTATAATTTACTATATAGTGAGAAATTTATTTATACAACCATTTAAATTTTGTTAAGTTTATTTTAACTGAAGTAACTAAGGTTATCTTTGCACTTTTCATAAATAAGACATTTTGAACAAATCAAATAAAAACAATAATAAGGTGTAGATATGATAGAAAAACTTAGGTTTTGTTTGGGATTGATCCCGTTTTTATTTTTCACGTTTTTCAAGAAAGAAAAAATGAAAACGTTTTTAAAATGGCGTTTTGTGTAATAAAGACAAAAAAGGAAATGAAAATGATTTTTTAGTTTAGTGTAAAATGAGAGAGAAATGAAAAATGACTTTTACTCGTTTTTCATTTTTTGTTTTCGTTTTCTCCTCTCTTGAGCAGAGAGAGAGAAAGAGAAACATTAATGGGTTTTTTTTACACTGAAAATAATCTCTTGATAAAATTACCAAACACATTTTCAAAAATGATTATATCTGAGATTGAAAACATTTTCATTTTCATTTTCACAGAAAAAACAAAATCATTTTTGAACGAGTTCCAAACACGCCCCAAGTGTTTTAACTTTTTATCACGCTTCACCCACATTATATAAAGCGAATCGTGCCTAATTATTGAGATTCTCACATACGAAGGGGTGCGCAAAATATTAGAGTATAGATAAATAAGTGAAAGCTTATCTAGAGCTTAAATAATAACCGAAGCCAAAGATGGAGAAACCGTGTGTTTTAGCTTATTATCTCAACTCGCCCATATTAAAGCGAATCGTGCCAAATTAGTGAGATTCTCACATACGTAGGCTGAGGGCGCGCAAATTATGGAGTACAAATAAATGAGTCTAGGCATAACACGAGCTAAAATAATAATCATAGCCAAAGATAGAGAAACAATATGATCCTAATATGCAATTTAAAAAAAATAGATAAAATAGTTATTATAATTGAAGGAGTTATTATTGAAGATATTTTTAGATTGCTTTCTTCTGTACCTGATTAGAAATGTGATTATGTTTGTCGAGAGGCGAATGTCGTAGCATACATTCTTCCTTTTTCTGTTTATCGTTCAGTTAATTGGGGTGGTGATTGTGTTCTAAGCTTTTGTAGCTCCGTTTGTTTCGGCTGATTTGGCTTAGTTTAATGAAATCCTTTTATTAAAAAAAAGTTTTATGTTTCATTTTTATACCATATATTAATTAATATGTAATTTGCTAAAAGAAATTATATAATTGACTATTGATTGGAAAAAAGTATGAATTGAAAATAAATTCTAAATTTGCACATAAATTTGAAGGGTAAATTTCAATAATAGCACTCTTGAATAAATTATTATTAATTTTAGCACCACTTTTGTATACTTACACAGTTAGTATCGTCATGTCAGCAGTGTGAGGATAAAATGACTTTTATGCCACTTATGTCAAAATTATCATTTAAAAGCACATCAAAGAGACTTCCAACTCTCTTCCGCCCATTCTCTCTCTTTACACCCCATTTTTAGCTCTATCTCCCTCTCTCAAGTTTGGTCTCTCTCTCTACTCGGTCTCTTTCTTCCCTACGCCATCATTCCCTCATCGCCAATACTCTAGTTGTGCACCAAATCGAGGTTGGTACACAATTTTTTTTTTGTTTTTCTTTTGTTTTTATCTTTTTAAATTTATTTTTCGAGAGACTTAGTATATAGAACTCGAAAAAATGACTGGGTTGAACTTAATGTGATAGAAATTAAAAATATCCTTTGTCAATTTGAGATTTTGGATGGTTTATAACTAATATGTAAACTAATTGTATCGACCAACGCGTTAAAGACATAGTTGACCTTGGAAGTCATAGTATTATGACTCATAGTGTTATATGTCTAGTCATAATACTATGACCGGCTTCATAACAGTATAAGTCATTGTCTATGAGTCAAATTATAACAGTATGAGTCAAAATGACCGGTCATAGTATTATGACTGGCTATAAGGCAGTCATAGTGATATGACCGTCCAATCATAATATTATGACTCAAATGACCCATAATGTTATGACTAGCACACTATGATGAAGTACGCACTTGCTCTATTGAAATTGTTCAAAGACACCATCGCCAAGCCAATAGTAACTTCCTCCTCTTCCCCCTGTGTACTAATCAACAACATATCTTCCTCCAAAGCCTTTTTTTTCTTCTAAGATGACAAAAAATGGTTAAAAAAAACAATGAATACAAAAAAAAAATCAAGAAAAGCAAACAAAGTTGTTAACCAAAGTACTGTGACTGGCACACTAAGGTCACATTCATTTGATCGATTCGAGTTTAGAATTTGAGTTTTACTACAGTAAAAAGCTTTCAGAAACAATCACATTCAACTTTTTTACTACAGTGAAAAGCTCTCACATAAAGTCACATCTAAACTCGAATTAGCGAACTAAACAGGCCATAAGAGTCTGACCATTGGGCAGTTATAGTACTATAATCGATGGTCATAATTTTATGACCGGCCATCAAGCAGGCAGGCTCATAGTGTGACTGCCTGACTGATGAGCCTGCGGTCATAGCATTAGGCTCATCAGTCAAACAATCACACTATGAGCATGCCTGCCTAATGGCCGGTCATAGAATTATAAGCATCGGTCATAGTACTATGACCGCACGCTGTGCCTGTCTTATGATCGGTCATAATTATATGATCGGCCATCATCACAGACCAAATAAGAAGCGCAATGACAATAAAAAATTTCAAATAATTGACCTTATCTGCTTTTTTCTCCTCCTCCAAAGCCTTTCTTTTCTTCTAAGATGACAAAACATGGTAAAAGAAAAAAAAAACAATAAATACCTAACAAAAACAAATAAACAAGAAAAGCCAACAAAGTTTTCACCTTTGTCTCGGAATCCGCCATTGACCTCATCTGTTTCATGTTGATTTCTGCAACGAAGAATGTTAGGAGGGTGAGGTTTCCTCTGTTAATCCTTGTCACGCCCTGGGGCAGGGGTCGGTGACGTGGAGGCTTGATTAGGGGTTAAACGCGATTGAGAAGAAAATATTAAGGAAATTCCCAAACGAGCCCTACTATTCTGCCGAAAATAAATTACAAGAACATCTCAAGAGGCTAAAACTCCCGCCTCTAATACTGTTCAGGGTTACACCCACAGGATCTATCCACAGGATCTTCAGTATCATACATACATGACACGTAAATAAAACATTACAAACATCATCCACAGTCTAGAAATCCAAATGTCAGAGTTTACAGAATTTACAAATTCTTACATTCGTACACAGGGAGGATGAACACAATCCTCACCAACTCCGGTGGTAGCAACTCAGCTATTCCGCACTGCTTCTAGAATCTCCTGGGAGGGGTTTAACATTTATAAAATAATAAAACGTGAGTGAAAGGCCCAGTATGATATATTTTAAAATAACTTTATAAACAAATAAATAAATAAATAAGTAAAAAAATAAATATAGACATTCAGTTCCAACACAACAGCCGGAACCTCACATCCTTTTTCTCAAAGGAAATATAACTGAAAATCTCCGTATTACAGGCATCATAAAGTATTGTTTGTCATTCTACTTGTTTGTCAAATTTCTTTTCTCTCAGCTTTCTCGCCAAAGTTACAAGGATTGAAAAGTTATGGGCTACATAAATTTACATCTTTCTTCTTTCCCATTCCTCTTTACTAAATACCCAAGGTTCGTTTTTCTTCCCCACAACCCTTCCTCTGAATTCTTTTTTCTCCCTTTTCTTTTTTTTAAGGAAAAATTTTCCTTTCAAATTTAACAAATTACAAACTTGAAAATAGTTGCAAATGACCATCAACTACAAGAGGATTCGACCCAGGCATTAACTTGATCTACCGATGAAAACGGATAAAGCACAAGGGCAAACATAAGTGTTAAGATGCTCGGTATACAAAATCGAGTGCGATCAAAGCTCATAAGAAAGAACCATTACAGTTGAGAGATAAATCTAATCCACTGAGACCAAACCCCAAATACTAGAGATAAGAGCGACACCGTCTGAAAACAAATCTAGTCGTACACCAATACACTCTTTAAAAACCAACTCAAACAAGTGGGATACATAAACAAAATTGAAAGGTGGGAAAACCATCTCCGTTATTAGAACACACAACCATGACAAAAATAACATTGCTTTTAATAAAAAAACATAAAAGAGCGGAGATAAAAGGGATGACACCTACTGTCACCATCATCAAACCATCCATCGGTGATCAACATCGCACCCATTTGTCGGCCACTACGCCCCCATACACAAGCAACTAACATCCAACTTCCTATTCAGTATACCTCCACGAGCATCAAAGTCCCATGCATTGTACTCCTTTCTTGGTTGGGACATGGCAACCAATTCTAATGTGGTGTTGGACTCCGATCTCGATGGGAGAGGGAGGTGGTGTTGCATACAAAACAACAGAAACTCGTGTGAAAGAGAGAAAAAGATGTGTGACGTACAAAATAAAAGAAACCCTAATGATTCTTTTTTTTAGAATAAGAAACCCTAATAATTGGATGAGAAACGAGCCAGAGACCTTTTGAAATTTTAATTTTCCTCTCATTTTCCACGATCCCAAACATTGGAGAAATGAAATGAAAGCTTAACAAATAAGAAATTTAAAAAAAAAAAAAACAAAGAGAGAGAGAGAGAGAGAGAGAGAGGGGGAAGGAGGGAATTTACAAAGAAACTCTGAATTCACAAACCGGAAACTTCCAAATAATTAATTACGAAGTAATTACAAACTTGCGCGTTACATATTAACAATTAAAATAATAATAATAATAATAATGGATTTTCTCGGGTACGCTTCTTCATTAGGCAATACTGGTAAGCCACGTAAAAATTAAGTTTGACTCTACCATAATTGGCTCTAACGGTGGAGTTTATTTTATTATCGTGGACATGCGCACACTGAAAAATTGGAAAAGTTCAAGCGTCAGACTTTTCTCTGGGACCACCACCTAATTTTTTTCTCTCTTTCTTCCTTCCCCTCCCTTGGTCTTCTTTACTTATCTGAAACCAAAAAAAAAAAAGGAGTACGTGTACACGTATAGCAGCCAATCTGGTACGTGAAAGAACATAATACTTATTGTGCACCGAATAATGTTCGTCTGTAAAATTATTGTGACACGGTTGTCATGTTAAGAAGTACCAATAGTTCCACAAAGTATTGTAATTCCCTAATAATAATAATCACCATTTTCGATTCTCGACTGTACAAAAACCACAACTCCCCTGTGCTGTGATCCTTCAAATTCAATAATAATTCCAAACATCCATTTCGTCACCATTCCATTCCAATTCCAAAATCACCAAAACCAAAAATTTAGCTCCACTTTTCATCCTCAAAATTCAAATTTACAAACAAACAAGCAATAAACATACCTTCCCCCTCCAACGAGTCCAAACTTTCTCTCTAAGAAAACGAGCCCCAATTTTCGGCTGTTTTTCAAATCACTTCCTATAAAACAAAACCCTAACTCAATTTCATTTTTCAATTCATGAAAAGCTTTCATCGTTCCTGAATCTCCTCTCTCTCTACTCTTTCTTTCTCGTCATGGACGAATCGCCACTGCTCGGAAACTCGATGGCAGATCATTTAATCCGGAGCCGGCGGCTGGTGCGGCGCACGACGCCGCCGCTGCGGAGGGCGGCGCGGATGCTTCGGCGGGCGAGCGGGCGGCGGATGATGCTTCGCGAGTCGTCGGTGCAGGTGCGGGAGAGCGCGGCGGAGGAGCTGGAGGAGAGGCAGAGCGGGTGGGCGTACTCGAAGCCGGTGATAGTGCTCGACGTTCTCTGGAACTTGGCGTTCGTCGGGACCGGAGTAGTGGTTCTGGCGCTGAGCTTGGACGAGAAGCCTTCGGTGCCGTTGAGGCTCTGGGTGGTGGGATATGCCTTGCAGTGTTTGGTTCATGTCGGGTGCGTGGTGGCGGAGTACGTACGGCGGCGAGAGGAGGTCGGCGGCGGCGACTCGGCGGAGAGCGATCGAGGGTGGGAGAGTGGTGGAGAGTGCAGTTCAACTTCCGGGAGTGATGCCCAGGATTATGGGAATGAGCAGAGTGAGGTTGATGATGATTCCAGGTAGTGCTTTTGTACAGATTTTTCTACACGTTCTTATCTTATTAGATTAACCGAACTATGATTTTTCTACCGTCAACATGATTCTCTTTTGTTTTGCCTCTTGTTTGAAATATTTGGCTTTGTTACGAGGTTTTGAGTTTGTTGATAGTCGTTAGCATGTTTATTCAAGTGGTTTAACTTATGCGTGTATGTGTATGAAAATGGGAAAGTCTTAAAGCTCGTGGGTAATGTTGAAGTAACACGGAGGAACATCAGATTAAGGAATTGTGTTTTTACATAGGTTGTTATGCTGTTCAAATTGTTTTGGGTAAGTTTTTAGCCAATCAGTTGGTTTTGTTACGGGGGAAAGTTAGTTTTGTCCTTTTCCTGAAACTTAAATTTTCTTTTGGTTGTTTTACATATAAAATTGGTATCGAATTTTGTGTAGCTGGGGAAGTTATTCCGAAAGATGATTCCAGGTAAGGTTGCTTCTTGATTATTGTTCTTTTTTTCCCGAGGAGAAAAAGAGTTTTTGTTTATATTACGTTCCTGTTCAAGTTTTTGAGTTTGTTACCAGCATATATGTTGAAATATCCATGCATGTACAACTGTACATGCATGGCAAAAGGGAATCTTTTAATTGGTGGGTTATGTTGAAGTAACAAGGGAAATGTGGGCTCTAAATCTTTAGATGAAGGAATGGGTTTTAGGTTCAACATATGCAGAAGTCCATTATGTCCTTCTCTGGAATTCAAAAGCCTTTTGATTGTTTTAATTGGTTAATCTAAAAACCTTTTGGTTGGTTTTGTTTTACTCGAGGTTGTTGTTTAGTATTCATCCACTTGATTGATGTTAACTGTGGAACTATCCTCATTTTGCTTGACAGTGTTGCAAAACATTTGGAGTCTGCAAATACCATGTTTTCCTTTATATGGTGGGTCGTTGGATTCTACTGGGTGACTGCCGGTGGTGAAACTTTGACCCATGATTCACCTCTGATATATTGGTTTGTTCTTACAACTTTTCCTTTTAAAATAGTCTCCTCTATTTACGTGTCTGTTCATGTTTTTTTATTACTTACACATGCATGTCTGTCTTGCAGGCTTTGCATTACATTTTTAGCGTTCGATGTGGTATTCGTCCTTATATGTGTTGCCGTTGCTTGTATAGTGGGTATTGCTGTTTGCTGCTGCCTGCCATGCATAATTGCAATCTTATGTGCTGTGACAGATCAGGTAGAGACGTTAGTAATTTTAATCCCTTTTATATTCACTGGAAAAATTGATGTATTTTTCTCTCAAGCCGGTTATCTATCTACTGTTGAAGTTGAATTTTAATTTCATCAATATAATACAGGTGTAGCTAGGCTTTGGTCGATAGACAACTTAATTAGCAATATGGTGTTTGAAGAGAAAGTTAAAAATAAACTGCGTATAAAAATGCTTTACGAATCTTGTATTGTGTATCTATCACATGCTAACTTTTTAGTTAGGTAAATTTGTATGACTAGTTTTACTTATTGTTCTTTCATGTAACTTGTTTGGAGTTAGGACTTGTGACAATTCATAAGATTCTCGGCTATATTTGTAATGACTAGAGTATATGTGAAACTTTTGTTGACCTGTTTTTTAGCCCGCAGCTGTCCCCCTTTTTTTCCCGTGCAGCATCTTAACTCTTAAATCTTGATTTTTATTTTATTTTTATTATTATTGTTATTATTATTATTGTTGTAAATAGTTTTTTTAAAGGTATGTAACCAAATGTGGACTAGTTTAGAACTGTTTTACTATGCAAATTCTGTGCCGCATCCTGCATTGTAATTCTTAACAGATGATTTCCCTAGTGAAAGTACTATTTAGGATTAAGGTTAGGCCCATCTGTGGAAAAACTTGTGGTGGATGTCCCTATTGTCTTGGAGGTGTTGGGTATTGTTTCTCTTATTTTATCTTGAAGTTGGAGTGTTCTCTGTTGAGAAAAAATTAAATTTTCTGTATGAAACAATTGTTCTATAGCATTTTGTGGTTCTCTAAGAGAGAAGAAATATCCATCTCTTGAAATATATTTGGTTTATAAAAGGAAAAAGATCCAGAGTAACAGATTTCTAGAAAATACGTTTATGTTTTACATGACATGGCTTATCACTTCTCTCAAACAGGAGGGAGCAACAAAGGAAGAAATTGATAATTTGCCAATGTTCAAATTCTGTGCGGTAAGTAATTCTGAGAAAGTTAGTGGTGAGATCCAAGAATCTTTCCGAGGAATAATGGTCGAATGCAACATTGATTCACGGCATTCAAGCACTAAGCGCCCACTTTTTGAGGAGGACGCAGTAAGTTTTCCCTCTATTTAGTTATACAATAAATGTTGATACGGTAACGTTTTGTAGCACTGACCAAATCTACGAGAGCAGTCATGTTAATATGAAATTGCTTGTGACGGTTTTCATTTCTCTTCTCTGTTCATGGAAAAAATAATCTGGATATGATATTTTGAAATCAAAATTGGTTAGCATCTAAATATTTCGAGGAGCTTATTTTGAGCCTTGATAATTGACAAATTTACAAATTTAAGTTTGAGGTTATATTAGTAAGATAAGATTTCCATTGTGATGGAAAATAATACATCAAAGTTGAAACTTCTTATCTGAACATGTCGTAATTAAATTACAGGAATGCTGTATCTGCCTCTCTGCGTACGACGATGGAACGGAATTGAGAGAACTTCCTTGCGGTCACCATTTCCATTGCACATGCATAGACAAATGGTTGCACATCAACGCTACTTGCCCTTTATGCAAGTTCAACATTTTGAAGGCGAGCAATCAAAGTAGTAGTGAAGTATAGGAAATCTTTATTTTGGCATGCTTAATGAGGGCGTATTCCCATAAAATAATAAAAAGAAAACGAGGGCATATTTTCCTCATTCCTCTGTATCATAAGTTCGTACTTTTCTTGTAGTTCACGATCTCTAGAGTGTATTACTAATTTTGTTTGCATTTCCTCCCCTCATTTCTACGTCGCTAGTAGTGTACGTGGCTTAAGTAAGTTAAGAAACACTTTCGTTTCCAAAATTGATTACATTGTACACCTTCCTTTTTCCTTTTGCAGTTTCATCAGTGTTCACTATGTGTAGATGAAAGGTAAATGCTCTCACTAAAATTTGTGGCAAAAGTAAAGATAGAAGTAAAATTTCAAAGATTATATATTATGCATGATAAATAAAAACAAAGTATATCAAAATGAAAATTTCCATTTTGATAAGCTTTGAGTGTTTATTTATTTATTTATATATTCTTTTTCACTTAGTTCTTTAGAAAATTATAAGAATTTTCTCAACTACATTTTAATTTAATAATTTTACCTTTTACTCATATAGAGGTTCCAATCCTTGTTCTTAAAAAAAGTTCTCATTCTTTAACTATCCAAATAGAATTAAATTTATGTTTTTTTTTCTCTTTTATTGTTATTACTATAGTTTATTGTCATGTCAGTTTTTCCATTCAGTTTCTTGGCAAAATTTGATGGAAGGGAAATTTTCACTAACTTCCCATTCTTTGGGAGATAAGTGACACATTTTAAAATTTGACGTCCAAAGTTAAAAAAAAATAATAATTAAGATTTTGGGAAAATGTTTACCATTTATTCTTTATTCATTTTAACCGGTTTCTCAACTCATTTTATTAATATGTTGTTTTTTATGGAAATTTTATTAAGGGAAATTGTACGAAATACAATTACATTTGAAATTTATAGAAGTAAATGACCAATTTATTAATGCATTGAAATTAATAGGCCATTTCAAGTTTTTAATTTTTATTTTTCAATTTTTCATTTTTTTTCTTGTCTCGATCTTTCATTCTTTGTTCTCTATGTCTACTCTCTCGTGTATATTTAGGATTTACCATTAGAATTTATACGGTTCTTAAAAAATTGATGCTAACTTGATAAATTTTGAATTTACTAAGTATATTTAGGATTTACTATTAAAGTTTGTACATGCTAACTTGGTAAATTCTAAATATACTTGGATTTACCATTAGAATTTGCACGGCTCTTAAAAAAGTGATGGTAATTTGGTAAATCATAGATTTACCGTGTATATCAATGATTTACCATTAGAGTTTGTAAATGCTATTTTTTACCATTAGAATTTGTACATGCGAACTTGGTAAATCATGTATATATTTGGATTTATCCAGTATATTTAGGATTTACATTAGAATTTAAACAGTTCTTTTCAAGTGATTTTAATTTGATAAATCCTAAATATACATGAATTTACCATTATAATTTGTACGGTTCTTGAAAAAATGATACTAACTTAGTAAATTCTAAATATATTTAGATTTACTGTGTATTTCTAAGGTCGCCTTTACTTTGTCTCTTGAACTTTTTCATAGTTCTCTCTAATTACTTCAAACTTTGATTTTTTTTTTCATTTTGAAAAGTGTAGTATTAAATGATAAGTATATTACGAATTTTTTTTTTTACAGATTTCAACAAAAAAGTGACAAAGTGTTTTAGGATGAAAAGTGTCCTCAAACCGTGTTTAGAAAATCAAGAAAAAGAAGAAAAAAGATATTGTTTGTTCCTCGTTTGTGTTTTTGTTGTCTTAAGAGTTTGTCGCCTTCGCGTTGTAGGATGTCTTTCTCTTCTTAGTCCAGTGATAGACTTTTGTTGTTTCTTGGTCTTTGTTTGCCCCCTTAATGATATTCACTCTTTTAGGAGAAAAAAATTAATTAGTGGAAGATTACAAGAAAGAGACTACTAAGATGAAGGAGTTGTTTAGTTAGGGGATTCATACCCCGATTCGAATCATGGTTTATGGTTCGCTATAGTGTTTTCTCTTACAAAAAATACATGTAAATCAAAAATAATTCTAATTTCATTATTCTAATTCATGAACTAAACGTCTCCAAAGAGTCTCAAATAAAATAAAAAAATAAAAAAACCTCATTGATATATATATATATATATATATTAGGAAAACCTTGATAGGTTGTCCATCCGGCAGCAACTGTTTACCAGATTAATCCGTCCGTGTAACTGCAGCCGTTGGATTAAAAATGAAGGGTTGGAATGAATTGAAGGGCACGCTATGAGATTCCAAAGTAGCATAGACATTATCAGTAATAAATGTAGGTAGGTCAATAGGTTTCAGACGGTTTAAAGATGACTCGTCCGCTATGTCCTAGTCAAGTAACGTCTGATTATGCAATGCAATATGTAGCTTTTTGAGTAACTTGAGTTTCAATTTTATTCGAGTTCACGTTTTTTTTTAAATTTTAATTTTATTTAACTTTACTCAATTTTATTTAAATTATAACTTCAACTCAAATTATAACTTAAATTTAACTCAAAAATTACGCTCAAGTTACACTCTAAAAAAACAACCCGTTAACTTGTCTATATTGGTTATGTGCATATGTAACTGATTAAACATCAATTAATACACGTTCAAGTAAAAGTGACTTCCAAACCAAGTTTAATAATATGAACTACCACAACTCAATCAATATATATATTATTATGTTATATGTTCACTTAATTTAAATAAGAAATACATGTTTTAAGACATAGTATACATTGTCGTTTCCTACATTAGAACATTAAAAAAAAAACTTCCAAACGACGTTCAATAAGATGAAATACAACAAATCAGTCAATATACATATTAATAGGTTATGTGTTCACTTAATTACTATAAAAAATACATGTTTTGAGAATTAATATACATTATCGTTTCTTACAATTTAATATATACATCTTCATATATAAATATACAAGACATATAATGAATTATATAACTGCCGTTTCAATCCGGCAAATAGTAGTTGCCGGTTCAAAAACTTTGCCATTTTAGTTATAGGAAGAGTCTCAATTTAAAAATTAAAAAAAACCTCATTGATAAATATATATAGGTAAAATCTCCAATCCGACAGTGATACTTGTTTATTTCTTTATAAATACATGTATATTTATTTTTTAAAATGTGTATATTTATTTTTTAAATATATACATTTTCTTTTATGATAAAATATACAATATACATATTTTAAGAAAAAAGATGCAAGTTTTAAAAAAATATATACATTTTTTTATAAAAAAATGAATAAATACGAGGTACGGAGACAATTCTAATATATATATTTTATTTTAGCGTACGAGTAATAACACTAACAAGAAGGCGGTGCTATCAAGTAAGAACAGTCTCCCTTCTCCAACGTCTACAATTTCCCTTCTCTTGTCACTCCTTTTGTCTTTTCAATCTCTTTCTCCTCCTCTCCCTCTCCTCCATTTCTTCTCTCTTTCTCTCTCTAGATTTCACAGCCATGAAGCACTTCATGCAGCCAAGAAACGCAATCTTGAGGGAGACGACGATAGAGTCTCGGGCCTCGCCCAACCCTAGCGCAGTCAAGCCCCAGCCGTCGCGGAAGCAGAGGGGCTCCAAGGAGAATGCGCCAAGCCCCGGCCGTCGACGGAAGCAGAAGGGCTCCAAGGAGAATGCGCCAAGCCCCGGCCGCCCCCGATTCTGGAGCACTCGCCGGCGATTTCCACCCTCTCGACCTCTACTTTCTCCCAATCTCTTGTCGGACATTAATGTCGCTGGATAATGACCGGAGTTTTCACCAGCAATCGTCGGATTCTGCTCTCTCACGTTCTCGTCGGACCAGATTGAGTCATTATTGAAGGAATGATAGAAGTTTTCCCAAACAATCGCCGACATTTCTCTCTTTCTTCCTCGTTAGATCAGATCCACCATTGAAGGTTTGCTAGGGTTTTTCCAAAGAAATCGCTGCTAAATTTTCTCTCTTCCTCATCTGACTAGAGAGTTGCAACTTACTTCTGGATTTTTGGTAATTTTTCCCTCTCTGTGTTGTGGATTTTTACTCAGTTATCGTCTTCTTTTGGTTATTTTCTGTATTCTGAGAGACATGAAGGTTAACGGTGGTGCTAATCATTGATTGGTTATTGTTCTTTAGAATTATGATTCGAACTTTTAGGGTTCATAAATATGAGGCTTCATTTCAAATTGTAAAGTATATTTGGTAAATCTTGATATAAACTATAAACACTTGATTCAGTTTCTCCTAAGTTCTCTTATTACTTGGTTATCGATACTTAATTTTGGTGTTTTTTCGATGCTTGTGGCAGATGTTTAAAAATCAGTAGTGGTTTTTAGTGTTGAACAATTAGATTTTGGCATATAGAAACTTTTCATTGCCAACAAAGTTTAGAGATATGATCGAGACTATTGGAAGGAATAAAGTAGAAGTGACTATATTTAAATCTCTTTTCTGCTCAAAACCGAAGGAGAATTACTTTAGATTCCTCATTCAAACTAGTTATGTCACTGCTCCTAATCTAAACGTTTCAGTCTGTTAATTGTTGTATAAGATACTATCTGTAACAAAGGTAAGTTTCTATACTACTTTTAAGTGCCTTTTTTATGTAAATGCAGAAATCAAGGGGGCTGGTCGAATTCTTCTTTTGGTTTCTTAGTTTTTGTGGCTTCTTTCAATTGTGAATTGGTTTTTTTCCTAGGTTGTTTGGGCTTCCTTTCTATGAATCAATTATTGGTACCGGATGAATGACTTTTAGCTTTTTGTGTTGGGACTTATTGACTTTTTTAGTGCTAACTACTCATTTTCCATTTTTTTTTCTCTCATCTTCAGAGAAGATGGCACATGGCACAAGTGATGAATAAGTTGAGGCTCTCATTGTCAAAAGCTTGATGAAAGCTTTATATTAGCTCTCGGGTAATTTTAGAGATACAGAGATAAACTTGGGTGCTAATGGTTGTTGTTCTGTTATTTGTGTTTTGCATAGAGCAATGTTAGAAAACACATTTGTGCATGTGTGTGTCTAGTACAATGGATAGTGGTCTGAAACAGTGTAACTTGCTGCATGGTCTCTGTCAACATCTGGTTTATTCTCTCCTCTCTCTCCTTGGATATATAGTTGATCTTCTTCATCTTCTATTTTTTGCCCCTTTTCTCTGGAAGATCTTAATATATATATATATATATATATAGTTTACCTTTTTTGTATTACTAGGGAGAGGAAAAAGTTAATTGTTTTCTAGAATAGCTAATTAATTGTTTTCTCCAGGATAACATAAGGGCATTATTTAGTGCGTAGATTTGATTGTAGAGGGGACCAATTTCTTTCATCGTCACTGACCTAGGTTGAGATCAGGACCACATAAGATTGACCACTGTTTTTGCATCTTGATTCCCCTGAGTTGTCACTGTCAACATCTGGTTTATTCTCTCCTCTCTCTCCTTAGATATATAGTTGATCTTCTTCATCTTCTATTTTTTGCCCCTTTTCTCTGGAAGATCTTAATATATATATATATATTTTAATGTTAAACAAGACTATACGCATGGTTGCTTGTAGAGCCCTGCAAGGACTTTAAACGAATCAATCTCCCTTAGAAACAGATTCCTTGGCTATCTTAAACGGAGAGGTAGGACAAGTTACAAGCCAATAAAAGAGATCACAGATAGGGGATTGGCCCCCATTTCATGATAAGGAAGCTACTAGTCCTTTTCCAGGTGATTTGGTATGTGTTTGTCATCTTGTTTATTTTCATTTGCAATATTCTGTGTATAAGGTTAACTTTGAACTTAGTTTTTCTATTCTTGTTATTGAACTTTGAACTTAGTTTTTCTCTTCTTGTCATTGAATTGATAGATTACAAACTGAATAGCTAAAGGAAATCTCAAGGAAACACGTACAATGTAAGTCCTCTGTACTATTAGATTTACGCATACAAAAATATTGACTTCTCTATTGTAGTTATAACATGCTTGATAGAAAGAGATTAAATGTATCAAACTGATTTTCTTTCTCTGTTCTCTTTTTGGTGTTTCCTAGCATGTGTGAAAAGTCCAAAGTTTGTTTCTAATCTTTGTTTCTCTATATTTTCCTGACTTCTCTTGTCATGGGTTTGTAGAAATTCGGATTAAGTATTTAAAATAGTATCTGGATATTTAGGGATTTGAAATACATGTAGATCCAAAAATCGTAATTGATGATGTGGAGCTAACAGCCGTGGCTGATTACAACGATGGTGATCCCATGTTCAAATATCTAAATTGATTTTTAGGTAAATTGATGTTCGAATCTCTCTCCTTCTCTGAGTGAAATTGTTTGATTTCATGATAGTTTAATAAGAATTTTCTTTTCTCATCAACTTCACTTTTCTTATCAGTAATGGTGACAAAACAACCAGGAATCTAGAGTTTTTGCTTCCTATAGCAGTCGTGGCATTTGAGTGAGTAAAGGAAAGGAAGAGCAAGCGGGGTTTTGGGGGTGTACTTTTTTCACTGAAAACAAGGGAACAATCCCTTTTAATTTTTTTATTTAATTGTTATATGTGAAAACTCCCATATTGACATATATAGACTTATAGACTCCAACAGTACTTTTTTGCAGTCGGGTCTTGCTAACCTAATGCCTTAGGAAGTAGGATCTCCTAAGAGAAGTTGCTTCTTAAGATATAATTATGTACTATATATCAGATTTTATTACTTAAATTGAACTATTATTCAAATATAGGTGTACGAAGATTTTAGCCTGGTTAATATCTGCTTTTAAGTTCTTCATTTTCTATGTATTTCAAATAAGGAGTTATGGAGGTTTGTAGGGAAGGTCTAAACAACCTTCCTTTACTTCCTCCCTCAAACAAGCCGCATTCACCTTATTGGATTATACATTTCCAAAATCTCTGTTATGCAACAATCTTTTCATACAACCGCGTGGAATTTTTTACTTAATATTGATTTTTGATTTTTGCTTCAATTCCCTTTTTTATAATTTTTAATTTTTTCCGGGTCCAATTTGACGTCTTCAATAATTTTTGATCCTTGAACTTCATCATGTCTTATTTCTTCTTCCAGGCAGTTTGATAAATCTATGTGTTGTTTTTTAATATCACATGATTTATTCTTGCTTGTTCCTTGGATAGAAAAAGGCATTAATGGTTGGATCTCTATCCACCAGGGATTGTATCTATTTTAGATGCTTTCCGATTGCTCAAAAGTAATCTATGTTTCAGAAGTTATTTTATTAAGTTTTTTTTTTAGTCTCTCTTTATGAGAGTTTAAAAGTAATCTATTATTATGTCTCTCTTTATGAGAGTTTCATAATTAAAGATGCATTTTGTTATTATTGTGCTATACATATGTTTCTTGGTAAACTATATCTCTTGTTATTCGTTCTCCTTTGTTTTCATTATCTCGGCGACATACACTAAGTACGGATAAAAAAATAATGGAAGGGTTTTCACTCTTCTATTTACATGTTGTTCGTCTTTTCTGAGTTGAAATTCACTACTTTACATGATCTTCTCAACCATGTTATCCTTCTTTTAAGATAAGTCCCATTTTATTTTCTCTATATTTTTCTATTTTTTTTATTTGTATTATTATTTACTATATATATTTTTTTCTATACTTATTATGCTATTGGTGATCCTAGGTATTTGTTGATGTGTATTTCTTCTCCACGGTTGTTGCTATCTTATGTCTTTTTCTTGTTCCGGATGGTTTGGTTAATCATAATTTTGCTTTGTTAAAGGCCAATCGTGGTTTACCTTTCATGTTTCTTGGATAAGAAAAGGACATTAATGGTTGGATCTTTGTCTGCCACAGATTGTATCTGTATTTACAGATACTTCTACATATCTTAAAAAGAAAAAGATAATTTTTTTTTCTTCATTTGAATAATTTAGTTCTTTTATACCATCTCTTATATTTTTATATTTTGCAGGTCCAAAATGATGTCTCCAGCAACCTCATGATCTTAGGATCTTTATGTCCTTTTCTTCTTCCGGGCAGTTAAATAAATCTTATGTGTTGTTTTCTCATATCACGTGATTTATTCTTACTTGCTCTTTAGATAGAAAACGGTTGTCGTGTTTGGAATTGTTCTTGTTTTTGTTTTTCACGTTTTTCGATAAAGAAAAAATGAGAACGATTTCAAAACGGCGTTTGGCACAATTAAAGACAAAAAATGGAAATGAAAACGATTTTTTAGTTTAGTGTAAAATAGGAGAGAAATGAAAAACGACTTTTGAGTCGTTTTTCATTTTTTGTTTTCTTTTTCTCATCTCTCGAGAAGAGAGAGAGAGACATTAATGGGTTTTTTTAAAACAATCTCTTGATAAAACTACCAAATGCATTTTCAAAAATGATTTCTGTCTGAGATTGAAAACGTTTTCATTTCCATTTTCATACGAAAAACAAAATCATTTTGGAACGAGTTCCAAAGACACCCGACATTATTTGTTCGGATTTCTAGCCACCATGGATTGTATGTCTTTATACTCTCTCTACTAAAAATCAAATTATTTGTAAAATTTGAGGTTTCAAATTGCTTGTTATTGATGAAGACAAGTTTTCTTTATGAACTCAAAAAGTTTGTAGTTATGATTTACCTCATTTGACATTTCTTTCTGTATAAATTCTTTAGAATCCAAAGAGGATTTTAGCTTCAACTTTAAAAAAATGAGTTGAATTTCTTGATTATAAGGAAATTGAGTTCTATTATGGAGAGTTCTCATATTTTCAAATAAATAGCTGTTTGGTCAGCTGCTTTATTTGTTTTCTAAATTGTAAACTGATGTGATGTCTCACATTCTAAAATTTGTGGCTTTTCTTTTCCTTGCATGTTCAGTCTCAGAATTTTCGTTATTATTATTCCTACTATGGATTTATAGGTATTAGTGCGAATGAGGCCACCACGCAAAGACAAGGATGAAGAAGAAATGATAGTTCTGAAAATTTCTAATGATTGTTTGACAATCAATGAGAAAACTTTAAAGTCGACTCAGTTGCAGATAGAGGCAACGCACGTAAGGTCTTTACGGAGATGTGAGTTACTCCAGATACTTAAGTATCAATGTCTACGGGAGCAAATCAAGAATGCTGATAGACAACTCAAATATCAATGTCTATGCCACTATTCCTTTTTTAGGTAGATTTTTGGTATAATTGGCCTATTTTAACTTTATAATTTCTTCCATTAACTCATTAACTGATTTTTATAGATTTACAATGAACAGATTACAGATTTATTGGATGCTAATCAAAGAGTTATTTAGGTGAGGAGGACTCTTTTGCTTTCCCTTTTTAGAAGTTCTTCTTATAGTACTACTAATTAGGGCTTTTATCAACTTTTTTCTCCAGATAAGAGAAAGATGCTAAATCAGGGATATATATTGAAAATCTCAAAGCGGAGTGTTTATGTACAGTGTCAAATGTAAAGCAGCTTTTAATGAAGGTTTGCTCTATAATGCCACATAGTTAAAATGCATTTTATTATTATTATTAGTTTTATTAAGCTTTGAAACTTTTGAAGGTAAGAACCCTTAAAAAAAGTATGTCTTGCGTTACCTCTAGAAGTTTGCACTAGGGGTGTAAGAATTGAGGCCGAACCCGAAAAACCCGTCCGACCCGAATACATAGGTTTTTTTTATTTTATTTTATTTTTATTAAAAATTTCGGATTCAAATAGTCCCAACCCGCACTGTGTGGGTTAGGGGCGGGTCGGGCATTCTTGAACCCACAATGCCCCGACCCGGCTGTTTTCCACCTACCCCAGGCCAAGCGTGCTGTAGCCTGTAACCCTAAATCCCTCCTCAGTCTCTCGCATCCCTCCTCTCCTCTCGCCTCACTTCACTCACGCACGCCTCGCCTCCTGAGGTAAAGATTCATCAGTTTTTATCAACTCTCTCTGTCATCCTCTTGAAGAGAGACTAATGAAGAAGCACGTATAAAGGATCTTTTTTCCATTTTTCTTTTGAAATTCCAAATTCGAAACCCAAAAAAGGAAAAAACTTTCGAAATCCTAAGATGGGTTTTCGGATTTCGATCACTCCGATAATGGGTTTCTTGATCCGTAGCTCCTCATCTTAATTGGGTTATTTTTATTTTTCTCGGAATACTCGAATTTTTTTCTTCTCCTGTTTGAAGGCATGAATTTGGGAGACCTTAATAAAGTATGGGAGATCAAGGCCTTGAAGAAGCCGGGAGAAGAAGAAGCCGAGAAGATTCTAGAAAGAATCGCCAAACATGTCCAACCCATTATGCGTAACCACAAATGGCGTGTTAAGCTTCTCTCCGAATTCTGGTACTTTTTTGTTTCAGTTTTGTAACTCCAAAAGGTTCAAATTCTCTTTTGTTTTATGGGTTTTGTTCTTATTGAGAATTGATTCTACCAATGGCGTGTTAAGACTTTTTTTTTTCCCATTTCCTTTTCTATTGTTTAATGGTTTTTTTTTTTCTTTTTATTTCGCAATAAGAATTGGAATTTTGTTTATGAAGAAAGAGTAAGTTTGGCTAATTTATAAAGTATATATTTTTCCCTTTAAATGATAGTGGGTTTTCATATCTTTTTAATGGTTAGATTTCTCATATTCTCATATTGTCACGTGTTTTGTGTTTATGTTTTTATTGATAATTAATTCAACTAAACCCAATTCGTTTACTTTTGACTGTTTTTTCACCTCTAAATAGAATTGTTAACTTGTTTCACTTGTAAAGCACAATTTTTAAGTAGCATTTTTGTTTTTTTGTTTTGTTTCTAAATACGTGAATGGCAGCCCAAACAATCCGTCTCTTCTCGGACTGAATGTAGGAGGAGGAGTTCAGGTGAAGCTCAGGCTTTGGAGGCCGAATCGGGATTGGGATTTCTTCCCTTTCGATCAAATTCTCGATACAATGCTACACGAGCTTTGTCACAATGTTCATGCCCCTCATAATGCTAGCTTCTACAACCTTTGGGATGAACTTAGAAAGGTATACTTTTTTCCTTTATTGTTCTTATTGTTTATGCTGCGGTTTTGTATTTGAATGTTGAATTTGTTTTTGTCTTATTGTTGGGATTTTTGTTCTGTTTGGCGTGAAATGTATTACATCAGAAAAGGATACTATTTGTCTTGTGGTGATCATTTTTGTCTTTTTGATTCCGTTATACTTAATTTAAGCTGACTCTCAATCTGGAATATCAGGATGTTTGTCATGGGCATAGTTGCTTTATTTTAGCCAATTACAACCTATCAAGCAAGCATGGGCCTGAAATAATGTATGTGAAATTTGGCTTCGTTAGTATTTCATGAAACTTTTTTTTTTTTTTTCTTTTGGGATATACTATGAGCTATCTGCATTTTGATTTTGTGGCTTTATTTTTGTAAATGATGCATATTCTTTTAGGATTAAAGGCACAACAGGAGTTGAACTGGCATCTGGCCTCCATTGGTATTTGAAGTATTGGTGTGGTGCTCATATTTCTTGGGACAAGACTGCTGGTGCCCAGATAGCTTCGATTCCCAATCCAGGCTCCCTCCCACTTGTAAAAGATGAGGGAGTTATGATTCAACGACCGGTTCTGTGGAACTATTACCAAAATGTTGTTACATCCAGATGTAAGTGTAGACTTTTTCTGCCAGTTTTCACTTATACCAAACTCTATCACCATATATTGTTTTAATACATCTCTAGATCATTCAGAGTTTGTTTTTCAACCCGAGCCTACCCGAGGTCACCCGAAAGGTTACGGGTCTGTAGACTTAAGAGAGTGTTGCAGCCCAAAGTTTTTTCAACCCGCATTAATTGGGTTGGCTCAATTTTTCGGCTCAACCCGACCCTACCTGGCCGATTTACACCCCTAGTTTGCACTCGACTTTTGAAGATTTTGAGGATGAATATCTGTTTTATTCATTCTACTTCTGAATAGAAAAACGTACATATAAGTAGTACAGAGAGAAGAAAAAATCACTCCCTTTAATCAAGGGAGTTAATGTATGCTGACGTACTAAAAAACTAAACGGGAAACACCTAATTAGGAAACTAGGTAAAATAATACCCATATCCCCCTATTTGGAAACAAATCACACTAATTACAGCAATAAATTCCTAGAAACTAGGACAAGAATCTGGGTTTTCTACAAACTTTTTCGAACACCTTGTTTGGCTCTCTCAAGCACCCACTTAGTTGATAATTGCTTCCCCCTATTTCGGATTTCATTGATATATATTTGGTTATTGATGATTAGAATCTTTTCATTCAGCAGCAGCTGAAATAAAACCTTACATTCAATTAGTTGCGATTTATGTTTCTTCTGTTACATTGAGAATATCTCCTAGGGCTAATTACATTTAGTTAAGGTAATATATGAGTGCATTTTACAACAACAAACTTGATTTTTTTTTTCTGCTTCTTTTTCTTCTTCTTCTTTGGTTACAATAGCAATAACAAAAGAGAACGTAAGTTGTTTATGCTATAAATATATGTCTTCAATTTCCATCTTTAAGTATGTAAAATTTGAAAAAAAGATGAAAATAAAGTTAGTCAAAAGTGGATTAGCAACGTGAAGACTATATTAGCTCTTACAAAAAGGAAAATAAGTCATTATTAAGTCCTGAATATCTAACATATTTAAGAAACCATCAAGACTAACACATTAAAGAAAACACGAAGACTATGTTAAACTAAAAGATATGAAGAGGAAATGGTATATTGTCCATCTAGCTTGCAATATATCTCGCTGATGGAGTTATTCCTTATTTATTGGGTGTACTCTATTAGCATGTTGTTATTTGCATCAAAGAAGTTAGTTTTTCTGATGCTCTCAAATTTCTCTCATTCTTCAAATTTTATTTGAAATATTTATTTTACCTGTTTTTTTTTAATTGAAATTTCCTTCTACACCAAATGAGAGAAGGGATGACCAGCCATATTTCATAATTAACTTGTTTACGTCCATCTAAGTATATCTACTAATTACACTTTGTCGGGACTGTCAAATTGGAGAACAAGTGCAAAGCAAGCACTTCTTGGGAGGCAACCCAAGTTTCTTAGCATTTTTCTTGTTCTGTTTGAGTTTTTAGGCTTTAGGAACTTTTTATTTATTTATTTATTTTTCTTTGTTTTGTAGGTACAAGCGGTGGAGCCAACGAGAGGCGGTGAAAATTCAAGGAAGCTATCATGCACCAAGCCTAAGCACAAAAAAAGGGAGTTTCTTAAACTTTTCCTTATTGTGTTGACTGCTTACACTTTTGAGGATGATGTGCATATAGAGCTTAGAGGGTGAAACGTTTCTTTGTTTAAAAAAAGACAAAAATTAAAAAAAAAAGTGTTTCTTTATTTTGAATAAATTGAGATGATTTGTGCTTTCTTTGGTGATTTCCCTCGTTCCGATGATGAGACTATGGTTGATACTTTTTATAGCTTTTGGAAGAGTGAATTCTGTCTAGGTGTGTGTTTAATTTTTGGAGTGAGTTTTATTTTGATTGTGATTGTTCCATATTTGAGCACTATGCCTTGATCTTTGAATTGCATGTTGATTTAGAGAATGTTTATGTGAATATGTGATTTTTCTTAATCTCAAAAGTCCTAGAATTTGTTTGATTTTCTCTTGAGGCGAAATCCTAGACTTCATATTACCAAGGAAATGATTTAGGCCATCTTTGGATTGTTTGAGCCTTCCGAGCCTTCCGAGCCTACCATGATATGTTTTTATCCCTAGTATACCCCGTTGAGCCTAATGTCACATTTTCTTTGTTACCCACATCTTTAGCCTAGCCTTTCGAGTAACTGTCAATTTTTTGTTCATCACCCCCATAAGCATGTTGGTCACTCTAAAGAAAAGATTTTGAGCTATGCAAAACAAGGGAGGAAGGGTGGAGTTTTGAAGTTTCAGTGTGCTCGAAGTGCAAAAAAAGATTTTGAGCTATGCAAAACAAGGGAGGAAGGGTGGAGTTTTGAAGTTTCAGTGTGCTCGAAGTGCAAAAAAAGATTTTGAGCTATGCAAAACAAGGGAGGAAGGGTGGAGTTTTGAAGAGCACTGCAGCGCCCACATAGAGAGCTGCTGCGCCCATTACTTCCCAGCCAAAAACTAGGGAGCACAGAGCTGCGGCGCCAGAATAACAGAGCCGCGGCGCCCATTACTTCATTAAAAAAAAAAAAAAAAACTCAACGCTTCGGAGCACTTTTGTTGGTTGGGGATGTTGTTTTCTTACCCTCTGTGTTCTTTCTTTTCACAACATTGAGCACAATGTTGATTTTAAGTTTGGGGGTAGGAGGTGATTGGGAAAAAAAAAAAAAAATTGGGTTGACAAAAAGAAAGTTGAAAATAAATTTGGGAATATTACTTGAAAGGGAGAATTGAGCTCTATAAAAGTCCTAGAGTGATTAATGTGCTTTGAAGGGTGATTTGAGCCAATTTTTTTTTTTTTTTTTTTTTTCATATCCTACCTTTACCCAAACCGCACATTACAAGCTTAATGAAGTCCTAATGATGTTTGGTGATATGCTGGTCTACATTAGTGGAGAGAGACATGAAGACTTGTTCATTTTTTGAGATCCTATGTTTAATTGATATTTGCATAAACTAATCCGAATTGCATGTGATGAAAAAGAGAAAGTGCAAATCACACACAAGAATGAGACAAACTCTAGGACTACTAACATTGCTTGGACATTATTTGTGTTTTTCCTTAAGCTATACATTTAGGCAATATTTGAGGAAATTTTTCAAGAATCAACATAATAACACAATATTTCTCTTGTTTTGTTTTTAGTTTCTTTTCTTGTTTTTGCTTGAGGACAAGAAAAAAGTAAGTTTGGGGGTGTGATAACTCTATAAAATAGAGTTATTTTCCTTCTTATTTGCATTTAAATTTGCTTTGTTCTTAAGGAATTTATTTGTTTTATTTATTTTTAGTTTAGTTTTTTGTTGTGTTATTTTATTTTACTTTAGTTGATTTTTCTTATTTTTCCCTCTAATAATTTAAGTAATCCTGATTTGTGTAAATTTTATATTAGGTGAAGTCAATTATGATAAATTTGGAGCATAATCGGCATTTAGAAAGGAGAGAAACAGTAAAAATAACTTTAGTTCCATTCCAAGAGAAGAGCTCTTCCACGTGCACGAGCCATCCACGTCAGCCAAGCACTTCCTTAGTAGCCAACCAAACGCTGCCACCTGTCCTAGCTTGCGTCAGACTCTAATGGACTTGATTCTCCTTTGCTGGTGACGCCGACTACAAGGCTTTATAAAGCTTTTCAGCCGCAAATCAAATAGGAGAGGATCCCTGCGATTACTTCACAGAGCAAAGCACCCAAAAACAAGAAACCGTGGGAAGAGCTGAGAGAAAATATTATGGGAAATTTATTTTGAGGAATTTGGGGTCACTCTTTTAGGATTTTTATTTTTAATTTTAGGTTTTACAAAGGAAAAAATATTTTGAAGATCAAGAATTGAAGATTAAGGATTGAAAAGTCAAGCTTAGAGTCTGATATTTGCATGAGTTTTTCCTTTTAATTTCTCTATCCCTCTATTTTTGTGAATTGAGATGTTAAAATCCTTAATTTATTTTAAATTAATTATGTTTTAGTTTTATTTTGTTAGAGCTTTGATTTAGCCACACTATGATATTTTAATTTTTTTTATTCGAATTATTTATTTTTATTTTTTAAGATTGAGTGTTCATCACCGTTCTTAATGCTTCTAATTAATTGGTAACTAATTAGATAATTGGTTAATTATAATAGAACTGGAAGGGCAATTATGTGTTGAGTTCATTGTGTTGAATGCCATAAATTGCATGTGAGATAGGAACATACTTGCATAATTTGTGTGGTCTATACATGAAAATTCATGAACTGTTCATGATACTTTGATTGTTGTAATTCACGTAGGATTATAGTGGGTTAGCAATTGGAGGGACTTTTGGGGTAACTTGGAAGAGAGCATTGAATAAATTGGGGATTTTCTATTGTTAACTTGGATAATAAATATAAATAATGAGAATTGAGGAATTGAAATGGACTAGTTGTGGTGAAATCAGTCGCTCTAGTGTTTTAGTTATTTGTTTTGTTTTATTTTTATTTCTTTGAGTATTATTTTCGTTTAATCCGTCGTTCAAATAGTTTTAGAATTAATCAATTTCAGTACTTAATTAAAATTAATACAATTCTTGTGAAAATGATACTCTATTCACTACTTTATTATTTATATGCGATATTGTGCACTTATAATTTTCACATAAGGACTGTCAAATTGGAGAACAAGTGCAACTAACATCAATGCTGAGAGTTCCGGCTCGAACACTGTTTTCACTTGTGTTCTGGAATCGTGCAAGGTGCAGCCAACCATCCTCTGTTGGACTTTTCTGCTGCTATATATATATATATATATATATATATATTAGATTATTGTTCTTTATTTAGTAATGTTTATCATATTATCGATATATTATAACTGATTCTTCTCATAGTAATGTTGGGGCCCATTAATTAATATTAGACTTTACTCCCAGTTCTAGGCTTTGTCTAAACTTACTCTATTCTCTTCCATGATTCCTTCAATTTAATTATTCATTGCTTGATTTCTTTAGTGTATTTCATTAACCCTTACTGAATACAGATTTTAAATTTGATAGTGATTAATTTTAAAGTCTTAACTTTCTTTGCGTTAATTTTCATCTCTAATAACATTTCCTTATAGTACCCTTTGTTCTTTAAACAATGTCTAGATTTCAGGATATCTGTTTCTTTTTAATCTCATTCTCAATGTTCTGTAATTGTGAAAATTCTTATATCATCTTATTTATTTTTATTTTGTATTAAATTTCGTTTATGCTACCATTATCATAGTCTATTTTTATAAGAGTCTAAAAAGTTCCTATTATTTAGTCTTCTCTTGTAGAAGTTAAACACTTATTGTTGTAGTCATAATTTTTCTTTTCTTATTTGTAATATCCAATTTAATCTTCAGCCATTTTATTTGTTCTTTCCATTTTGTAATCTTTTTCCTCTTCACGTTAAAAAAAGACACTTTTAATCTAAACTTTTAAACTCTGCTGATATTTGATCATTGTCTTCTTCAAACTTGTAAAAGTATAATTTGATAAGTTACGGGTGGACTCATCAACGGACTTGACTTCCTCGTCAACCTCCCCAACAGGTCGTTCCTTCTTCCACCGATCCATTGACGGTCGCCTCACCATCGACTTTCTCAATTGAGGAGACTTGTTCGGAGGACTATTGTTGTGACAGAGGGTTGCGCTGCGAGACTTGCACTGCTTATGACAATAGCCTGACCCGGATGGACGTGAATTCAATTGTTCATCCCAACTTCTAAGGTACGCAATCCAAATTACACTGCACTCTCTTGATTCTATTGGATATTCATGACTTTTTACAACGAAGAAAGCCTTATGTATATCTTTCCCCTGGTTGATGTGCCCACTGTAAAAGTCATGGTAAGACTCTAGACTACCTTTTCCTCCGCTGGCCTTTTTCCTTGGATATTTGGGATCGGATTTTGAGAGTTTGGTTTTCCTGGGTGATTCCTAGTGGGACAGTTGGCCTTTTCAGTGGTGATCTTGTGTTTGGTTGATGCAATAGTGCCAAGAGAATATGAACCGTGGCTGTTCTTTCTACTACTTGGTCGTTTTGGCTAGATAGGAATGACGAGTTTTTAATGATTTAGAGGGTAATGTGACTGAGGTTTGGGATATAATTAAGTATTGGGTTGTTCTTTGGCTTTTTCGAGCCTTTTTTTTTCCTGATGTGTTAAGCATTGGGTTTTCCGTTATAATTTTTTACTCGATTTTCTTTGCTGTGAATATTTGGGCAATGCTGAATTTATATAGCCCAGGTTCTCATTTCTTGCGGTGATTCAGGGAAAAAAGAAAAAGAAGGGTTCGTTTTTGGTGGGGTTGTGGAGTGCGGGGTTTCTTTAATTTTATGGACGTTTCTAAATGGGCTGGTTGTTAATTTCTAATTGAAGATTACCATGCCTCCTACTAATTTATAGATTGTTGTAGAATGCTAAAGTTTGAGGTTTTCTCTGTTCACATTTAGAAGGTATGTGCCTTCATATGTCCTTTCTTTTTTTCGTTTCCTTTTTTTTTCCTCTTACTGAAACTTCATCATCTCACTGAAGTATGTCCAGAGTCCTAATGGCAGAATCTTATTTCCGTTGTTTGTTGTTTGGTTTGAATACTTCTTGGTGGTAATGATAAATGCTTCCTCAACATGGTTGAATTTTGTGTTGTATTTATGTGCATACCCTACTTAGTTTTCTATTTTATAAGAAAGGAAA